AAAACACCCATCCCAGCTGATCAGCTGCAGAAGAACCTTCCCTCCCAGAGGAATGACCAAGGGGTTATAATTTATAAGCTAATGAAGGTGATAAAACACCTGGAACTGAGCGACTGACATGCTCCTCCTCCCTCTAACAACACATTTTTGTACATCATGGGCTAAGTTTTTATTCTTAGTTTTTATTATATTTTATGTGCATGAAGATGACAGGAGAATCCAGATCTGTTGGAGAAGAGCCAGCCAGCCACATCCCCACAATTCTGTCTCATTAACTCACTACCTTCTCCTATGCACTGTCCCAAATCCATTGGCATTAGAAGATCTGAAATTCCAGACCTCCAGGGGTTAGAAAGGTGTGAAATAGGTGGCTGGCTGGAGGAAGCTGTAATTCAGGCAAGATGCCAAATGAGCTCTGGAACCTCCTTCTCTCAAGCTGTTTTTAAATGGGTTGATTTTAACATGGCAGTGACTGCAGTTTTGGAGGAGGCCTCCAAAGAATTGACCAGATAGACCAGAAAGAGCAAGGCGAATCCCAGAGCGATCCTAGACCCTAAGCAGGTATATGTTGTTCTCCATACTTCTTCCCATTCCCCACATGCAAAGCTGAGAGCTGTAAAAGTTTTAGATCAAATCTGGGACCCAGCAGAATGTCCATCACCTTCCCTTCCTTTTGTCATGTCTGTTTGGTGCTTACAAATCTTACCTGCCCCTCAAGGCTGTGGCAGCCTAGTAACAGTATTACCAATGTAGTGCAGGAACGCTCTGTCAGTCCCTTGCCCAGGACAGAGCTGCCTCCCCCGTGACTGAACAGTGATCGCAGGGGGAATAAACCTTTTGGGACTGGAGACTGCCAGCCACCTTTGCTTGACTCTTCCATTTGCTCTGAGATCTCTCTTCAGGACTTGCTGGCTAGCCTATGCTCCAGGGCTGATAGAATTGGTCAGTTCTCTTTGTGGAAGGGAGGATGTGACCAGTCAGTTTCAAATGTAGGGAAGCACTTTCAGCCTCAGGAGCACAGGTTAGCTTTTTATACCCCCCCCCCCCAACCCTTTTTTTTTTTTTTTTTTAACAAAGTTCTTAGCTTCTTGGAGAGAGCCTGCAGGAGACTCTGAATTGACTTGCTTTATCAGTATCATGTCTTTTTAACTTCGGGCTTCGTAACTGATCAGCTTCCAGCTTGTTCTTATCTCTCTCCTTCCATATGCGCCTCTTCAGAGGAGCTTCATGGAGGACAAGGCTTATCCTCAGCTGACTTGTGGCAAGCAATGGGTGTGTTAGAGTCTTGAGGGAGGAAGTGGAGCTATCAGCAAGTCACTGCTCCCCACTAGAAGTAAGGTCAGCCACTGGTCCCTTTTTTTTTCAGGGGCCCTCCACCTCTGATGGAAAGCTCCTTTTCCAGAGGCAGACTTAAAGCCTTGGCCCATCTTTAGAGGGACTTCCCTGGTTCTTTCCTCACTGTGGCTACTGCCAGGACAGAGGTCATTATGGGTCACCCTGTGATTTGAAGTCAGCTAAAGCAGAAGTGGGCTGTAAGTGTCTCGGAGAAGAGTGGAGCTGATGCAGGTATTGGCACTCAGAGCACGATGCTGAGGGATACAGGACAGATATGAGGGTATTTTGCCTTAGAGCCTCTAGTGGCCTGAGCATGGATGGGAGCGGGGCAAGAGTACAGCCCCTCTCAAGCTATGTGCCTAGCTCTCCTGAGGAGGACCCACATGCAGCTACAGCACTAATAGCACCCTCCTTGTGAAGGGGTGCGAGGTGTGTCTCGTCTCAAACTGCATCTGATTTCACTGCCCTCTGCTCCCAAGGGAGGCAGAGAACTCTAGGCTGACTTCTCTTTCTTCATTCTTTGAGCTCCCAGTGAAGAAGCCTAGGGTTGAGGAAGGTTTACTTAACTTCATGCAAAGGAGGTGTTGTGATCTCTCTCTTGTGACCAGGATTCAAGGATCACTAAGGCTGGTGTGATGATATATAAAATAAAAAGTTTGTTCCAAGTTAAATGATGTCATGTTGCTGTGTCTTTCTCAAAACGCCCAGCACTTTGTGCTGAAGCCTGTGAACCCACGTGGTGCACTGCACAGAGAGCTGCCTTGCAGCTAACCTTGAAACTGGTCTTGACAGAAGGCAGCCTTTGTGCACAAGCCCTACTGAGACCTTGAAGGGCGGAGGTTGTAGCCATTGTGGATACCTCCTGCTATTCTTCAGTCGAGGAGTGGAGTCAAGAAGCATGGCACACCATTGCTGGGAGGTTAGACTCCTCAAGAACACATCTACACACTGGAAAAGAGACTGGAACTGGGAATGAGGTTTCTGTCATTTGGGACAGTGTCTAGTCAAACTTCACTTTCTGGACAATTGTGATGCACGCTAGCTTCTTGCCCAAACAGGGCTGGATGTGCCCTAGGGGCATGAGGCATCTGATCCAGGCAATTTTCAAATCTGTCGAGGGCATTCCCTGTCACAGAGGTTGCCTCTTTCCTGCAAGATTGCTAAATGGATGGTGGGACCTGCAGAAGAGTGCTCCAGCACTTTTACAGCTGGCCTCCTTTTCTCCAAAATATCCAGGGACTTTTGCCCCATCTGTTGTATTCACACACTGTTATCATTTTTTGGCACTTAAGAGCCACCATCATGTGCTAGGTGCTGTACAATCCCAGTACTCTGGGGGAGGAGCTAAGTGAACAGAGGGCCTACCCCAGCCAGCTTTTGTTCAGCACATTCCAAGCTAATTCAATTACTGTCTTTACTTCAATATAGGATGTTTCCCCCAACAAATGGCATGGGGGGGAAGCGTCTCCTCTTACTAATCACATATGAAGCAGAGGGGGGGAGCAGGTTGGGGCCAGAGTGGGTTGCACAGCAGCCCACCTGCTCTTGCCCCCTGCTTCCCATCTGTAGCTTCTGCTACCCAACCAACCCCTTCCCTTCCTCTTACTGTCAGGTGCAGCTGGGATCTGGCTGGAACTGGGGTCTCTCCTGGGCAGGGAGCACATGGAAGCTCCTTTCCCTGCCCAGCCGGTCATCGGCACTGAATGGCCAGACAAAGGTTGAGCTTCCACATGCTATGCTCCAGGATGGAGCATTTGATGGGGGACGGAGGGGAAGGAGCAGAAATGGCAGGGAACAGTTGGGGTGGAAAGGGTAGAAACTGGGGAGTTGGGAGCAAAGGCAGAGATTGGGGAGTTTGGTAAGAGGGGCAGAGGCTGGGGGGAGTGCAGGTGAAAGGGGGCAGAAAGGCTGCAGGGGAAGAAGGCAAGAGTGCTCTTCCAGCCAGTGCTGGGTGCCCCCACAGCCACTGCTTTCCCTGCTGTAGCAGTGTATGTGGGGAGGGGGAGGATTCCAGACAACTCTCCAATACTTAAAAAGGTTGGAGATCACTGCTCTAAGTAGGAGATCACCTTTGGCATTTAAAAGCAACCTAAGATCTACCGTGCGCTGCCACCACCCCTCCCCCCACCCAATAAGTAAGTCTGTGGGGAGGGCTGGGGCGGCAGATCAAGGCAGAGGGAGAAAATATGATTCGGGGGTGCATCTCCCCAGCAGGTAAGTCCCACCTGACCGGGGCCCCACTCAATTTACCCCTGCTCCTGCCTCTGCAGCACTCTCTCTCACCGTGGGGGCCTCAATCTAGCTCCCACCCCTTCCCTCCCCACGGACTGACCTGCTGGGCTGGGGTACATGTGTGCATGCACATGGGCACTCAGCCCTCCACCCCAGCCTCGGATCGACTCCAAGAGACAGATTTACCGGTGGATTGAGATCCACTGGTTGGTGACCACTGATTTAGATATAACATTTAGAAGTTTTCCAGATATAGAATTTAATTATTGGGAGGTCATCTTATGTTCAGGGTTATCTTACAGTCAAGTAAATACAGTAGCATTATTATTACCCCAAACGGAAAAGTGGTATCCCCTCGCAAGAATCCTATATTGGGTGCCATGGGGTACAACTGAATGACACCTGCTAGGCATGGAGATGGGAAGCAAAGAACCCACCCACTTGGGAGCAAAGCTTTCTTTGGTATCGCAGAGCTAACAAGACAGAAGGCAGGGGTGAGCCGCACCGTATAGACTCACTAAGTCAGTGATATAAAGGCAAGTCTGTAAGAAGGGCAGATCTCCTGCTCCACAGAACAGGCTATTTCCAGCTCTACGTTGTGGTCAGCAGCATAAATAAGGAAGCTATGCTCTGAGATTTGGGTGCCACATGCTGTAAAGCTTTAGTTTATTTCTTGAATTGGGATAGACAAAGTAATGCAGGCGTCAAGAGGCAGGCATCATCTACACTAGTTCTCAACCTTTTTTAGACTGGAGGGACCCCTGTGAAAATGCCAGCTCTTCATTTTAATTTATTTTTTGACTACAGACAAATAAGCAGCTTTTCTGTTGCAAAGAACTCGGGAAGATCACAACAGCTGAGGAACTTCTTTACATTATGAATTCCCATTTGAAATCTCGGTTTTTCTTGTGAATCATGTTTGCACAGCTAACATTGCATGGCACCCTTCTAAGGATCTCAAGGCACTGAGTGCCCCAGCAACTGGGTTAAGAGTCACCAGTCTACTAAAGTGAGATGAGTTAAACTGGTTTTCTAAGGTGAGCTGGAGAGGATGGGAGAGTGACTCTTCAGCGTTGGGCAGGGAGGGGAGTGGCAGGCAAAATTGTACAGGAGGCAAATATTGCTTGAGCATCTGGAAGTGTTGCCTGATGTCTCTGACTGCAGAATCACCTCAAGGCACTGGAGCAAGCCAGGCTCAGCAAGAGACTTAGAGCTGGACTGAACTAAAGCTCTGGCATAAGCCCGTACTGCTATGAAGAGGAAAGGGATTAAAGTGCGGGGTGGGGAGGAGGGTGTATATATATAAAAAAAAAAAGTCCATTCCATCCCTGTGCACCTTTCCCAACTGGCAACCCATCTGAGAGAGCATTTTCACAGCTCCTACCTTTTCATGGAACTCATTTTTCATTAAAAAAAAAAGAACACACAACAAAAACCTTTTGATATAATTTACTGTCTTGGGGTTTTTTGCATAGGCATAAATTACAATCTGTAGATTAAAAAAACCAAAACAAAACAGTGCAGCATTTGTAATAGGCTACAGAATTAAATACAGCTTGATCTCCTGCCTGTAACCATCTGTTTGCGCAGGGCTAATTTGTAACACCATTGACAGACAAACATGGAATGAGAGTGAGACTAAAGTGAAGCAGTCCAAGGAGAATAAACAAGGAAGCTCTGCCTTGGCAGATATTTCCCTCTTATTACTGTCTTGCTGTGCTCACGCTGGGTATTTGTACCAGGATACCCAGCCTCATGATAAACATGGCTAAAGTACCAAATTTGAAACGTCTTGACCCTACAGATGGGCAAGAAGTTCCAAAGCAGAAAATCATGATAATTAATCTCTTCCCAATTCAGTGCTGCGAGCTGGAGGATGGGCAGGGTTAGCAAACACTAAACATCCTTTAAGGCCTTATAATGGATCTGGCTATAGCCTAAAGATAAACACAGGTGCCTGTCCCAGGTGAGCAATCCACAGCCTGCGTTAGACACAAGCTCCCCATGCACAGCCCTTACCTAGCAAGATGTCTTATTTTACGTCACACAGGTCAATGGATAAAACAATAGCCCTGCTAGGACTGGGGCAGCTCTGGCTACACACACAGGCCCAAGAAACTGCTGAAGTTAGAAAGCAGAGGTACCTCTGAGGTTAGGACAGCTGGTTAAGATCACCATTTTGGATACAGTTGTTTACATGCTGCTTTATGCCCCATTTTAGGCACCAAAATGCCTCTGGATCTGGCCCTAGACCCACTGCTCCTAGCAGGTGGCAAGGCCTTGCAGCAGGAAGACCCACTTTCTGGCAGGTGGTACCACCACCTATGGACTGGTGCCTCACATTTGCATGCCAAAGAACCAGTGTTTTATTCCCAGCCCTGTGGTGCCTCTTTGCTACACAGGTCAACTACAAGAGCCTGTTGCCCTCTGTACCTTGTGAGTAGCAGTGACCAGTTCCAAAGGGAGATGCCACCCAACCCTCCTCCCTTAGGGAAATGGGGAGCTGTCCCGCCAAGAGATGTTAACCACAAAAAACCCATTGCTTTCTAGGTGAGGAATCCCCTGGCCCCTCCCCAAGTCAACATCTCTGGCCCTTCTGGGCTTCAAAGACTGAGGCAACAGGGCACAAGTCAGTGCTCCATGACTCCCAGCTCAGAGCCTGTATCTACTGGGATGGGCGTGTGCCAACTGTGGCCAGACTTGGTGCCGCAAAGCAGGGGCCCTTGCCTTTTCCTTCAAGTGAAGGAGACATGGATGATTAGATATGCAAACATTAAACACAATGCAAATGTAAGCAGAACTAAAAGTAAAGCACGCTGCACAAAACCAAGCACCAGCCCACGGTAGCTCCTGCCCAAACCAAAACAGGCTCCAAGCCTGCTGCTCAGCTCTGAAACCGTATCCTCAACACAGACCCAGGCCAGCAATCCAGCCAGTTTATAAACCCTTCCCCCCATCCCCACCCCCAGCCAGCTGGTAACGGCACTCCTTTAACCCAGGGGAGGTTGCTTGTGGCTGAAGATGAGTGTTGCTGCCTCTCTCCTGCCAGGTAAATCCACCCGGCTTTCCCTCCAAACCTGCCAGAATCTGGGATTGGTGCTGCCAGGCAGGGAAAGGGCCAAGTCCTGGGCAGGGGACAGTGAAGCTGCCTGTTGCGTTTCACAGGCCTGGATGGCTGCAGCTCAGGACCGTGCTGCCGGTCTCCAGCAGGATGGGAATGGACACGGAGAAGCGGAGGCGAGACCAGAGTGGGGGGGAGGAACAATCCCTTCCAAATAAAGTAGGTCACAGATAATTAACCATCTGACCCTGGGAAGAGGAGAGGACAGGTACCAGAGTGGCACCAGCCCCCGGATTACCAGCAATTAACAAGAGCATTGTTACTATCATCTGGTGCCTGAGAAAGCAGCAGTAACCCTGTCAGCCTTCCCCCACGCTGCCTCACCTCAGGCAGCCATGAACAAGGGGGAAAGAGGAGGTTGGCCCTAATATATCCCCCAGGGAAAGCCCAATCCCAGCTTCAGCCACAAGCTCCTTCCTGGGACCTTTGCTACTGCCACGGTTAATACTTTTGCAGGCCCACCATCACTGGGGCCCTTGTCTGGCCAAGCCAGGTGCCTGGAATACTCTGAATCAGGATCCCCCTGGCTGCAATGAGCCCTCAGGCCCGCTCTACCCTCCAGCTTTCAGCATCCTCTATAGCTGGGAGCCAGCAGGGGCACTGCCAGGAGCCCTTCACCCCAAACCCTGTATAATACTGCCTCATTGCCCCACTACCCCGTGAGGCTTGTGCGATCACGTTAATACCCTCTTGACCGCCCCATACCCCCTCCCTCCCAACACACACCATACATATGGGTAACTACAGCACAGAAGCTACCTTGTCCATGGGTCCTCTATATACAATTGTCTATATACAGATGCACACAACCTGGTATATGGGTACATTCATTCCCTGCCCCCCTCAAGTACCATTTTGGCTAGGGTTTTCTACAACCAGGAAGGCAAGAACTATCAGAACATGCCCCTGGTCCCTTTTTTTTGGTTCCCCATCTCCATCAACAGTCAATGACAGATGCCAGACAGTGGCACCTCAGTGTACAGTAGCTGCAAGAGGAAGTTTTCTTCCACCTCCTGCTGTTGATCAGCTTGTACAACAAGGCCTGGGGATTAAGTAGCCCTGCTAATATCACTCCAGCTAGTGTTACTGCCCAAGCTGTCTTTGTACCAAATAAAAGGTCTATCTGAACATCAACTGTTAGCCTCAGTGGTTCTGTGCAGCAGAATGTTCTACAGCTTGGTTACACGCTGCATGGAAGGCAAAAAGTTTCTCATTATTATGACAACAGAAAATCAGCAGGTGGGAAGAGGCTTCAGGGGCATCAACGTAAAGATATCTGGGTTGTGAGGGTTTTGCAACCATGTGAGGCTGTATGAGTGAGTGACATAAGTGCATGGATTATCAGAGACCCCTTCCTTTCTTAGCCAACAGCATCACGCATCACTGAAAACTAAGAGCATTGGCCTGTGCTGGAAGGGATATGCATCTTAACAGGTACATAATACACTAACTAGACCAGGCAGTTTCCAGTGCAAGGGTTGGCTTTACTACCCCAAGGAGAAGAGTCTCTTCTCCCACAGTTGTTAGCTTTGATATTATCCCTTCAGCTAGCACCTCCCTGCCCCACTTGCTTTCCTCTGCAGACATGCCTACTATCTCACTTTCAGGGTCATGGGATCCTCATTCAACCCACAGCCAGTCAGCCCTTGAGTGGAAAAAAAAGCAAGCCCAATACTGGAAGAGAATGGGCAACTGTGCAAAACTAGTTGGTCATATAACACTCCTACCCTAGCCCAAAACTTCATATATGCTACACACCCAAACCAGCGTACTATAATTGTGCACACCTTCCTAAAGCCATTGGGACACTATGTTGTAGGCTTCTTAGATACCAGGAAGGTGTGGAAGGGAAAGGCAGATGAATAGATCCTGACTGCAGAGACCCATTTCAAAACTAGATTAAAAAGTTACAAAAGTGTCCCACGTGAATTGAAAATAAAGCAGGCTGCATCCAAGCCCATGGGTGGCTTTCTTCTACCCTGCCACACCATCCTTTGAGACACTAAAATCCTTTCCCTTCCTCCCCTCCTTAAATGCAAAAAACTCTCTGGAAGTGGCAGAGCAAAAAAGCTTGGGGGCGGGGAATATATTCCCCAGGGAACTTGTTTCCTCCTTGAAGGATTTATGAGTGAAGCCGCAAAAAAGACGACTTTCCTTGTTCTCCTTTCCGCTGACGCCTTCTCTCTGCCGTCCTCACTCACGGCCTCCATAGAGCCTGAGGTAGCCAGCGGGGGGGTGGGGGAGCCGAGGTGGGAAGGTTAATGGGCTGGCTCCCCATGCACACGGAAGCGATAGATGCAGGTGTACTCTGGATGGCCCCAGTTACTCAAGACCTTGAGCTCCACCACCTGGAAGACGCCCAAATCTTCCCCCTTGAGAAGAGAGAGGAGACCTGGTCACTCCCAGCAGACAAACAAACATCAAGGGTCAGTGTTCTCACCTGTGTGGGCAGGGGGCATCCCAGAGATGTAGCCCTGCAGCCCCTGACACTCAACAGCACCAACACGATCCTACAGAAATTACCCAACACGCTTAAAAAACAGAGGGCAGAGGGAAGGTGGCTTTAAACCACCTTTGCAGGCCCTGTATCTGGGGGCTGTGTCTGTGTTGTGCCCAGTGTGAGCAGTCAGGAGTCAACTGGTGCCCAAGTCATGTAAGGCTGATACTGGACACAGAGGTCTCTCAGAACATGCACACCCTACACCAGAAAAATCAAAAAAGGAGCAATGGCAACAATTTTAGGGGCAGGGGATCCTCCAGTTAAGCCAGCCCTTGGCTTGTTTTGGACTGTAAAAGCAGCAAGAGCCTAAGGATTTAGCCTGTAATATTGAGCACAGAATGACCTGGGTACCTCCACAAGGGATCCTGTAGCAGGGGGGCTGGGTTTGAGGGAGAAACCCATTGAAGATATTATATCATCCTGCATTTGCTGCCAAAGGCCTTCCCCAAAAAGGCTGAGCCACATCCAGTGCTAAGCCAGTGTCCAAGAAGCGGGGTTAGTTGGGGGTTTCCTCCAGAGCACAAACAGCTTGTGCTTTGCAAGGGCACATGCAGGTGAGCTGGGGTGGGAGGGAGGGGAAGAGAAAGGTTGAACAACCCCTGCTGAAGGATACAAGATTAGTTTCATAATCAGCCTCAGCCCCTATTTCCCAGGCTGAGGAGCTGTTTGATCAGATTGTTGGTGCATCAGGCCAAGGGATCCCCTGACGCCTTCCCATGTTGCTGCCCTGGATCAGACCATCATACTGGCTACCCAGGTCTCCCTGCCCCAGCTGCACTGGATCAGGTCATTTGCTGACTGCCTGGTATCCTCCTCTCTCTTGAACTGCAGCCAGTATTTTGAGCTTGAGGAAGGCTGGAACTCCTCTAAGAATCAAGCCACCTGAGTGGCACCTCTCAGAGATGCACTGGGCCAGAGCACCCAGCCCCACCGGCTCCAGGCAGACCAGTGGGAGCTGAATTTACAAGAACACAGCCTCTGCAAGAAAATGCTTTGGCCATTTCTAAGCATGAGAAGCAGGGGTCCGGTGCTCCCAGGACTCTCCTCTGTAGCTCATTGCCAAAGAGTTCTTTTCCCACCCTCTCTCCATACCGTGAAGTGGAACGTTTGGATGGGATCGCCCTCCTGGTCGTACATGAACCGTCCAAGGAGGATGCCTTCTTCTTGTCCTTCCTCTTCCAAGCCCTAGGGAAACAAGTCAATGTGGAAAGGAAGGAAGGGAGGAGAGACGAGAAGGCAAAGAGAGAAAGAGGAGGAGTGTGGAGCAGGCAGAACACCCCGAGGGGAAGTAGGAGGTGGAGACAGAGGCACAAGTGCAGTTAAACTCCACTCCTCCTTTTCCCAGCAGAGGTGGATAGGGGCACACAGGAGCAGAGGGGGAGAAGGCCAAGAGTTATACACACTCACTTCCCTCCCTCTTGTCTCCCCCACTATTCTCCACCCCAAGTCATCCTCCCAATATTTATATGCCCCCAACAACAGATGCCTTACCCTTGTACTGCCATTCGTCCCCCAGCATCCGCTCTT